ATTTTAAAATAACTAGTAATTAAAAAATAACTGTTCAATTGGCTGAGGAGATTTTGTTTTTCACAATCTGAATGACAAAACAAAACCAGAAATCAAAATGAATCAAGATTTTTATATAAGGCCATCACAGGTTTAAGACTTCTCTCTCTAAAATTAAGAGCACGCAGGAAATTACATGAAGGAACTACAGTGGTCTTAAAATACATATTAACAAAGTATGCAATATACTGTAATCTTTGACAGCACTAAATTTTCTCAGATCCAACAACTGCCAAGCAAAGTCTATTCATAAGAAAGGCTGCTAATCTATAGCACTGACATAGGAAAACAAAAAGTTTTGACATCTTAAATCCTTAGGATTATCTAATGACCAGAGATCAAAACAAACTACCTCTAATGCCATTTTACTTTAATAAGTGATCAGAAACAGAATCCTAATAACTTGTATATTTAATCTAAGAAAACATACTATTTCCAGTCAGAAAAGAAGCCCCAAATAGCCATAAAGTATGGAAAATAATTATTATTCTCATTTACCTTTTAAACTCCCTATTCCTCACTCCCTAGCTTTGGGTAACCGCTGGAGAATCACAGAATTTTTCCCTTTTGTGGCTGATGCTTCACTATGTATGTTTTTAGAGTGCATCCATATGGTGGCAAGTAACAGAACTTTTCTCTTTATGACTGTATGATGTTACATTGTATAGATACATTTCACTTATCCATTCAGTGTTGATGGATATTTGTATTGTTTACACTTTGTGACCACTGTGAATAACATGTTGTGAATGAATAGTTCTGTACATGCATCTGTTTGAGTAGATGTTTTCATATTTCTTTTATATATTTAACGTGGAGTAGACCTTTTGGGTGAGACAGTAATTCTTTGCGTAGCTTTTCAAGGAAATGTCCAGTTCTTTTGAACAGCAGCTCTGACATTCACAATCACACCTGCAATGGACAAGAATTTGAATCTCTCCATTTTCTAACTAATACTTATTATTTATCATTTTGTTGTTCATTTGTTTCTTTTAATAACAACCATCCCAGCCAGTGTTAGGTATAGTCTTATCGAGGTTTTGCTTTGTATTTTCCTAATAACTAATATTGCGCACGTTGCTGTCCTAATGTTTCATGAACCATTTACTTTTAAAAACAATGGATTCACTAATTCTATGTAAAATTAAAGACCCATGATAAATCTTTGTTGTTGCTCAGTGCTGTCCAATGGGTCTGACCCGCAGAGGCCCCGGGTGTGGCATCTTCACAACTGGTGCTGTGTGTGAGCCTATTGTCCAGCCATGGTGCAGTGCAGCTCCTGGCGATCTTTCCGCTGCTCACTGACATTCCCTCTACTTCACCAAGCACGGTGTCCTGACTCAGGTGCTTTTCTCTGCTGATAACATGGTCCAAGGTACGGGAGATGAAGCCTCGCCATCATCTCTTCTAAGGTATATTCGGGATGAACTTCTTCTAAGACAAATTTGTTTATTCTTCTGGGAATCCATTGAACTTTCAATGTTCTTTGAAAACACAATTCAAATGAAACAATTATTCAGTCTTCCTTATTCATTGTACAAATCTCCCTTGCAATACGGAAATGCTATTATCCTCAAAGTTACCCCTCTACCGTTTCACACTTCAAAGAGGTCTTGTGCAGATGCAGGTTTGCCCAATTCAATACATAGTTTGATTCCTTAGTTTGTCTGTTTTATTTCTGAGCATGGATTATGGATCCAAGCAAATTGAAATCCTTGACAACTTCAATCTTGTTGTTTACCATGGTAACATAACAATCTATTGGTCCAGTTGTGAGGATTTGTTTTCCATCCATACTGAAAGCTACAGTCCTACATGTTCATCAGCAAGTGCTTCACTTTCAGCAAGCAAGCTTGTGTCACCTGCATATCCTAAGTTGTGAATAAATATTCCTCCAATCTTTATGCCAATTAGTCTACTTTCTTGAACTGATTGCTGAGTATACAGATTGATTAAGTATGGTGAAATGATACAACCCTGATACACACCTTTTCTGACTTTAAATCATGCACTATTCCCTTGTTATGTTTGAACAACTGCTTCTTGGTGGATGTTCAAGCTCTGTGTGAGCCAAATGAAGTGTTCTGGAATTTTCATTCTCAGATAAATTACTCATGGTTTGTTATAATTCACCCAGTCAAAAGCCTCTGCATAGTCAAAACATTAAGTCAGTGGCTCGCAAGATTCCTAATGCCACGACCCTTTCAGACAGTTCATGTTGTGGTGACCCACAACCATAAAATTATTTTCATTGCTACTTCTTAAACTGTAATTTTGCTACTGTTATGAATCAGATAACCCCTGTGAAAGGGTCGTTCAATCCCCAAAGGGGTTGCAACCCACAGGTTGAGAACCGCTACATTAAGTTAATGTCTTTCTGATACTCTCTTTCAACCAAGATCCATCTGATATAAACAATGAAAAACCTACCTTGTGCCAAGTCCTCTTCTGAATCTTCCTGAATTTCTGGCAGTTACCTGTTAATGCACCACTGCTGATCTTCAGCAAAATTTTACTTGCATGTCATTTTAATGAAAATGTTAGATAATTTCAACATTCTGTTGGGTCACTTTTGATTGGAATGTACATAAATATGGATCTCTTCCAGTCCACTGGCCAGGTAAGCTAGCTTCCAAGTTTTGGGCATAGACATATGAGTGCTTCCAGTTAGTTATTCACCAACTTGTTAAAACATTTCAATTGGTATTGTCAATTCCTAGAGACTTGTATTTAATGCCTTGATGCAGCTTAGACTTCTCCATTGAGTACCACTGGTTTTTTAGCATGTGCTACCTCTTGAAATGGTTGTGTGCCAACAAAATCTTTTTGATACAGCGACTGTGTATTCTTTTCTGCTTCTTTTGCTGCTTCTCACATGCTTTGGGCCATGCTATTGAATCCATCAATAGCACAACTCAAGGCTTTTTATTCAGTATTTTCAGCTTAAGATATGTTGAGTGTATTCTCACTTTCTCATTTTTTAACTGTAGACGGTTGCACATTTCATTATAATACTTTGTCTTCTTGGGCTGCCCTTTGGAATTTCTGTTCAGCTTTTTTATCTCATCAATTCTTTCATGTGCTTTAGCTTCCTTTACATACAATTGCAAGGTTTAGAGTCTACTCTTTTTTTTTTTTTTAATAGTTCAAGGTCTGTTTGTTGACCTTTAGGAGTGTTTTCCAGTCCAGTCTGATGGGGTGCCAAGCCCTGGCCCTCAAATCTAATTTTGGTCTTCCCTGGGGACTTCATTGCTTTGGTGGTCCCCTTGCTGCTCTGTTGCATACCCTTAGCGTTTCACCCTGGATTTTTTTTTGTTTCTTCTCATTTGAGTCACGCCACATCAGCAAATGAAGGTTCCCCAGAACTGGACTCCATCCATGGACTATGGCCAACTCTACTTTGAGATGGCAGATGAGATAGTTTATTGTGCCAGCCTGGCCGATAAACACAAGTGGGATTAACTGAAGGGCAGAGAGATAAATGGCTTGGTGAGTCTCGCCTTTCTTGTCTCCTGCTCTTTGATCATCGGACCAGTGTGTGGCTGCCTTGCTTGTCCTTTGCCTCAATTTAAAGGCTACACTACCTGTGGGACGCCTAGCCTGTGGACTGTGTCGCTGTAAGTTGAGGTCCTTTTAAGAGATCGCTGGAGCTGGGGACTGGCAGTTGGTGACCTGCCTTCTGATTGGCTGCTGTGCTGACATAGCCTAGCTCTCTCTATAAATAGAGGAAGATCTGGCAGCAGACTAGACTGGAAGGACTGCTAGTCTCTCACAACTGTCTCACGGCAGTGAGTTGAATTGAGCCATTTGTAGCGCTTTATAATTTAACTGTTTCTTTCTTGTATTATATATTTATCTGTATATGATTTAAGTTCATTTCCTGTTATATATCTAATTAGCTTTATAAATAAATATATTGAATTATCAGCAATTTGGTTTTATCTCTCTAGAGAATCCTGTCTAACACAGCAGATCTTCCTGAGTTGTATTTTGAGTGCCTTTTGACTTGAGGGGCTAATTTTCTGGCACCATTATCTGACAATGTTTTGCTGTTATTCCTAAGTTTTTCAGAGGCTAACCTTTAAAATGTGGACAGCCTATTCCTTCTTCATAGCCTGTTCTTAGTCTGGAAACTCCCTAGCAACTGGATCACCATGGATAATCCTGCTGGTATTTAAAATATCTCAGTGACACAGCTTACAGCATCATAACAACATGTAAGTCAGCAGAGCATGACAAACTGACATAAAAGTGATGGATTATAACCAATTTTGAAAATAAATGCTCAACACTTACAACAGCTAATTTGAAGCACAGTCGGTAAACAGCCTGAATGTCCATGAGGGGGTCACAAAGCAAAATGGCACCTCCCCTGCCTGTCCCTCACCCCTCACCAGCCCTGTTGCAAAGTCTTTCTGCATTATAGAATTGTGTGTCACACAAGAACAAAAGATAGAAATATTTAACTGCTAATGTCAGTAAGAGGTTTCATTTCTAAGAAAAGTGTTCAAAGAAATGTGGCTAGAAGCCAAACCATGACTGCATTTGGGAATTACAAATTAAGTGTCATAGACATATCCTGCTATTACTTAAAATTAGTGTCCCATAAGGTAATTTATCTCATTTACCCTAAGGGTTTCTACACAAGTGAATGAAGTAAAACTATACTGGATTTTCCTAATGCCAAGCAATTCCACCAGAAAACCATTTTTTCCTTCATTACATACATACATACTTTCCCTGCTCCTCTCTGAGCCAAGTATAAACACACAAAAAGGGCAGAGAACAGTATTAATAACTCCGTGAAAGCAAAATGTACATAGACATTAATTCAATAAAGAGAGCACAGTAGAGTTCTACTAAACTATTTTCCAAACAAAAATATCATTAATGAAAGCTCTGGCATAAGTATTAAATTAAAACATATTAAAAAGGTAGAAATCAAGCAAAAAGTCACTTACTGTATAACATCTTCAAGTCATAAAATTTTGCACTTAATAGAGCTTCTGTTACGATAGCCTTTTGTCTGTAAGCATCAATTAAAAAGGTAGAAGAATTAAGAGACAATTGCCATTTTTATTTTTAATTCACCCCATTATCATAGAAACCTACTATGCATTAATTTTGTAAATTGAGACTGACAAATGATTTAAGTAACATTCTCATAGAAGATTACAATCTAACAGAAAGCCAAGCTACAAAGTTTAATGTATAGTTAGCTTTTATATATATATTTATCTTTAAAACAATAATCTTATTGGTTGATCATGCCTGGCTAGCTACTGAGCTATATAGAAGAGAGGTGAGCACATACTACTTTCTCTGACAGGGCTATTAGACAGTGAGAACATAGAAAGCATGGCTATTGGCCCCTTGAAACTCAACAAGTTAAAATTACAGTCCGCTATCAAGAAATAAAAGACCATCTTCATCCCCATTCCCCAGAACTGGTAGGAAGTATCAGAAAGGGGTTGTGTAACAGTTTTAATACGTTAAAAGACATAGGCAAAATGAAGTGAAACATGGCTGTATGCTGAGACCAGATATATGCAGTAAACAGAGTGAATGATGGGAAATGTTAAAAACATTGGAAAGACTCTAAGAAGAGTATACTGTAAATATCCAATAGCTGACAGAGAATTTTTCACTTTAGAAGAAATCACTTAGGTCTCACTGGGTAGGCAAAAGTAAGCTTTTATTCTGACTCAAAGATTTCCTTACACGTCCTTGAGAAAAATGGTTAAAACATGTGGATCAATTTAGTTTTGTCAGACCCAAATAAAAGTCTTAAAGGTCATCCAGTAATGATCAGTATACTCACAGCAAGAGTCAAGAGAATTGGTTAATTCAGAGAAAATAAAATTGCTTAGCAAGAAATTTCTTCTCTATACTTGGGAAATTATGTCGAGTATTCACTATGTACACAAAAATGGAAAACCAAAGACAACTAAGAAATAGTTATAACAGGATTTTATTAATACTTACTCTAACCAGTTCTGACTAACTTTGGTATTCATGGTGGGCTCTTGGGAAATGGATGTTCCATGAATTCCTTGAAATCATGCAAAACTTTGCATGTATAAATATGTTTGGGGGAGGGACAAAAGGGGTCTGCAGTTTTCTTCACCTTCTCAGAAGTCTCTAATTCCCTAAAATTGAAAATCTTAGGAGCTACAATGCTCTCTATTAGTGACAAGATTCAACCAATTTGAAGGGCTATTGTCAACTATTTTAATAATTTATAAAAGTTACTATCTTCAGAAATTATTCTCATAAAAACCCCTAGTGATTATACTGACAATAATTATAAAACTGACAATATATTGAACTGAAACGACAACTTTTAGACAGCTTTACATATACTTCAAGTCAAAATAAGCTTATATTTTAAATGTTTAGAATAAGTTATTTTTAAAGCATTAGTAAATTAATTTCCAGTGCTCTACAGGCAGTCCCTGGATTCTACACACCTGACTTGGGAACAACTCTCACTGGTCCCTTACTCAGAGCACCAAACTGATAGGAATCAATTTTGTCATAGGCCAAGAAGTGACACAAGAACATAGATGAATTTTTGAAATTTAAGTGATCGGTCATGGTAACTGAAAGATGAAGAATGAAGGGTCAGAGTCTGGATGTGAAGACTCGGAAAGACCAAGTAAGCTCTCTCAAGAGCCTGCTGCTTGAAACTAGATTCTTGGCAGCACCATGGAGAGCCACACATATTTAAGGGCACTGTTTTTGAGTATGGCAGAGCTGTTTTGGTTCAAAATCCATTTTATATAAATTTGCTCTCACTAAAAAACAATTGAACCAAGCTTCACTTGCAAATAATCATTTTCACTTGCTGCATGTGCAACTTTTTAATCACTGAAAAGCTTGACCATTTTCTTGTACTAAAAGAGTTAAAAACAAAACAACCAAAAAACCACTAGCACCTGCTCCTACTTACCTGCAAATTCTTAAAGACACAGGAACTGATCTCACAGAAAATCTGGGAACTGTCTATAGTAACATTCAATTCAGTTCAACACATATTTTAAATTACTGTTTAAGTAAGTAGTAAAGACTGCAGTTCAAGGCAAGGGCAATGGTTTTAACAACAGCAGTTAAAATATGCACGTCTAAACATGTTACACATTGTTCAATCACTGGTTACAGTAGGTAGAGTTCCTGCTATAGCACAAAGCATTAAAATGTGGGCAGTAATAGTAGTTTCAATTACAACAGTCTCACAAAGAATGCAATGCTCATTAGTTACTATTTTTATTCCACAAATAACTAGTCCAGTGTTACTCAACGTGTAGCACGAATACTCCTGCTTATCCATTAATTGTTACTTGCTTCTGATATCAGTGTAAAATGAGTAAGTTTTAGAAGTTGGTATCATAAATTTATAGGGCTGAACATTTTATTTTATGTCACAAAATTGTTAAGTCTAAACAAAACAAAACAAATTATTCACCATAGAGGAGAGTTCAAATTAATCCTACTCCTTAAAATGATCAAAGGGTATGGTTTCAAATAAATACTGTGTATACTTGAGTTTAAGCTGACCCAGGTATCAGCCAAAGCACCACTTTTACCACAAAAACTGCATTTAAAAATGTGCTGAAAAACCCGGCTTATACACGAGTATATATGGTACATTTAAACCCTACTTCATAAGGGAAAAAAAAGGTAATAATGTTTCCCTACTAACTTTTTGTCCTATTAATTTAAATTCCACTTCCAAATTTCATCACTAACCTTATGCAGTTCTTAGAACTTTCGTGACAGGATAGCTGTTTCTTAAAAAAACTTTCATTTTTCTTGTCTTTTGTTTTTTCTGACTGTCTTTGTATTTGAACCTGTAATGAAAGAAAATCAATATATAGAGCTTGAATTCAGTATCACAATGGTTACATTTTTAAACCCCTCTGGAAATGATAAAATATTAAAGCTGTCTGAATAAAAGAGTAGCCTAAATACATATATTTTATTCATTCAAGCATGCTAAACTGTAAGTCTGTCAGGATGCTAAGCTCATCAAGATAGTGAGAGAGGCATTTAAATATAATAAATGTGTATGACTTATTCCACCTACATGCAGAGCTGGGAAGCTAACTTGAATCTCCAAAAGTCGGAGAAGATCCCAGTGAGTAGGTCATTTAAAAGTTGACTGTAATGAATGGGTCAGAATCTAAGGGAAAAAAATTATTCCAGATGGAGAAAAGAAAACACAATTATGAAATAACCTCATAGATTGGAGAACAGTAAGAAGCTGATATAGAAAGGGAAGTAAAAGCTAATGGAATACGAGGCTGATTAAATATATTATGACCAGATGCAAATCATCTTCTAATTGCCACTGAGTCAATTCTGCAGTGGTGCAGTAGGTTGCATATTGGATTGTAATGGTAAGGTAAGCAGTTCTAACTCACCAGCTGCTCCTGGGGAGAAAGATGAGGCTATCTCTTCCGGTAAAGACTGACAGCCTCGTAAACCCCAGGGAGCAATTCTCCTCTTTTCTATAGGGTCCCTATGAGTAAAAGGTCTTGAATAAGCAAATAGTATTACAGGCATAATAGACTATATAAAAGTTTCTTGAAAATGAATGCGATAATAAAATTTGATTTTTAAGAAGTTAACTTTGGCAGGGATATAGAGAATGAATAAGATAAGAGATTACAAAAGCTAAGAAACAAAAAAGAAAACTCCTAAATACACTAGACCTGTAATATCCAAGATGAGTCACTAGCTAAACATAGCTACTGAGCACTTGAAATGTTGGGCATCTGAATTTAGATGTGCTGTATGCCGTGGTGGCACAGTGGTTACTAGCTGGGCTGCTAACTGCAAGGTCAGCAGTTCAAAACCACCAGCCACTCAAGGAAAAAAGACAGGGCTTTCTACTTCTGTAAAGAATTATAAGTACTGACAACTCACAGGGGCAGTTCTACCCTATCCAATAGGTTCTCTAAATAAGTTGGCATCACCTCAATGGCAGTGAGTGAGAGTAAATATAATAAATACACTAGATTTAAAAGACAGTACCCCCTCGCTGCGATCTATTGAAAGTCAGCCCTCGATACAGGGGTTTGTTAAAAAAAAAAAAAAAAACAGTACCAAAAAAGGGTAAAAATCTCAAAATTAAAAAAATATCTCAATAATTATAAAAAATATGCATTACATGTTGGAATGGATTCGATGACATCAAATAACAAATATTATTAAATTTACATTTCATGCCTCTCTTTAGTTGTTAAAGACATACAAATCTTTAAAAACTACATAGTGGTGTGAGGTATACTTCTTTTAGGAAGCATTGGCTTACATACAACATTCATGCCTACAAAGAGGCCAGAGAGATGGAAAGGAACAAATGAAAAAGACAAGGAGCAGAAGGAGGCAGAACTTTCTGATCTGGGTGATAGAAAAAGTGGTACTATTAACCACTGGGGCTTAGAAAAGGGAAAGAAAAGAGTGTGAGGTGATTTTTAATTTGTCCATTTCAATGCAATGGCAATGGCTTTCATTTGGTGTGGTATTCTAAACAGAAATATGCAGTAAACAGAAGGAAATATAGGCCTGGTTCTCAGGGAAAGAGGTCAGGACTAGTGACAGAGTTTCAGAAACCATCCAAATATGGGGAGAGAGTATGCTAAGAGAATTTAATGGAAGAAAGATTCCATGAAGAGCTCCAGTGATTTAGAAAAAGTTAGGAAATGGCAAAACAGGTTATGCAAAAACAAACACACACACACACTTATTAACCGCAAGACAGATGTCCTGGGAGCCAATGGAAGTAGAGGGTAGTCAACAATATTACATGCTAAAAATAAACCGTGGGGCTTGGTAGTCAGAACAAAAATCTCAGCAGTTTATTGTACAGTAAAACGATGGATACCTAAAACCACTGCCGTCAAAGTGACTCCAGCTCGTAGCGACTCTACAGAGTAGACTGGAATGGCTCCCCAGGGTTTCAGAAGCTGTAAATCTTTCTAGGAGCAGGCAGCCTCATCTTTCTCCTGAGCTTGGGGGCGTGGGGGTGGTCAAACTGCTGACTATGATTAGCAGTCCAATGAGTAGCAACTATACCAACAGGGCTCCTTAAAGTGAAGATGAATGCTTAATGGAAACTGAAAAGTGAATGAGAGGTGAGACAACAGAGTGAGCAAGAAAGAATAGATGTCTCATTCAAGAAGCTTAGATTTAAGGGGGAGAAGAACAGATTCAAAAGAGATTAAGATAAAGGAAGATAATGGTAGTGGGGAGGGAACACTAGAACTAATGGTGATTACACAACTCATTTTAAAAGTGATTTATCCATGGGGGATGGGGTTCTAAAATTGATTGTGGTAATGATTGTATAACTCTTCTTGATATGACTGAACCATTGAATTGTGTGATATGTGGATTTATTGCCAGTAACACTGTTAAAAATAAAGTATTAACGTGAGGTATGTTTTTACAGATGAAAAAGTTTCCCAGGAAACTATCTTTAGGAGCTAGTTCACAAATCTTTTACAACAGATAATCTGGAGAAATAAGAGTACACTGTTCAATTAAGCCATACTTTATTGTTGACTAGGAGTCTTTCTTGGTGGTGGTGTGGCTATGCTTTGGGCTGCGATCTGAATGGTAGTCAGTTTGAAACCACCAGCTACTCCAAGGGAGAAAGGGCTTTCTACTCCCATATACAGTTATAGTCTCGGAAACCCCCAGAGGGGTTCCTATGTGTCAGCATTGAATTGATGGCAGTGAATTTGGTGTTTTGGTTTGATTTTAATGTTGACTTGGTCACTCGTTGGGCTGCTAACCACAAGGCCTGCAGTTCGAAACCACCAGAGGCTCTTAGGGAAAAAGGGCTTTCTACTCTCTGAAACTCACAGGGGCAGTTCTACCTTGTCTTATAGGGTCACTAGAGGTATGGACATCGACTTGATGGCAGAGTTCTAATGAGTGTGTCACACACTTACATGTGATGTCATTAATTTTACTCCAAGTTACACAATTAATGTACATTTCCCATATAACGAAAAATAAAGGGCAAATCACTCCATGTTACTTTACTTGAATTGGTGTCTGGTGTATTCCTTATTAAAAACATATCAAAGTAAAGTATAAAAACCTACACCGAGAATTAATGTAGTGGCATTGTGATTCCACCTGCTTCCTTATTCAGAGACAGAAAGCTGACCTGAACTCCGTAATAGTACTACCGGGGAATGGTTGGCTTCTCCCATCAATGGCCTTACGTATGTGGTGGCTACAAAAGTTCATGGTAAGAAACGAAATAAAAACGTAATGGAGAATTTCCACAAAACTTTTTAATCCATCTTGTGTGTCTATATTGGGTATTCTCATTTCTAGCTATTTATTATTCATGACTCGTTAGTGATACCAGACATTACCTTTTCACACACTGGACTTAACCAGTTCTCCTTTCCTTTCTGCAGTTAGGGCTTCCTTTCTGCACCAGAGGGTTTTCTATGACTGTCTTTTTTTTTTTTAATTGTAAATCTTTACAGTAACAAACTACACATCACACTTTAACACTAAGTGGTAGGTAAATTTGAACTGCCAAACCTCTGGTTAGCAGCCTAATGCTTACCCGCTTGCCAGCAGGCCATCTGCTCACACAGTAGTAAAGGTCTGAAGAAATGCCTTCTTCGAGAGCTCCAATATAACCTTCTGTCATTCGTCAAATAACCACAATATCCTTCAAGGACCAGCCTTTAAGCACATTTTTATATTTGATTTTACTGGTCTAATGGTCTCACAATCAGGTTTTTCATATTTTTGTTAGGTGCCATCAAGTCAGTTTCAACCCACTATGACCTTATGCACAACAGAAAAATACTGCCCTGCCTGTGCCATCCTTACAATTGTTCCTGTGCTTGAGCCAATTTTGCAGCCACCACGTCAATCCATCTCCTTGAAGGCCTTCCTCTCCTTTGCTGCTCCTCTACTTTACATAACATGATGTCCTCTAGGGACGGGTCTCTCTTGGCAACATACCCAGAGTGTGTAAAATGAAGTCTCGCCACCCTGGTCTCCAAGGAGCACTCTGGTCGTACTTCTTCTTTTGTCCTTTGCGCAGTCCATGGTATTGTCAATATTCTTTGCCAGCACCACAATTTAAATGCATCAGTTCTTCTTTGGTCTTCCTTATTCAATGCCCAACTTTCACAAGCATATGAGGCAACTGAAAATACCATGGCATGGGTCAGGCACACATTAGTCCTCAAAGGAACATCCTTGCTTTTCAATACTCTAAAGAGGTTTTGTGCAGCAGATTTACCTAATACAACATGTCTTTTAATTTCGACTGCTGTTTCCATGAGCATTGACTGTGGATCTAAGTGAGATGAAAAACTCTTGACAACTTCATTTTTTTCCTCTATCACGCTGGTACCTATTGGTCTAGTTATGAGGATTATGGCCTTTACATTGAGCCATAATCCACACTAAAAGCTGCAATCCTTGATCTTTAGCAGCAAGTGCTTCAGCTCCTCATCTCTTTCAGCAAGCAAGGTTGTGTCACCTGTTTATCTCGGGTCTTTAATAAGCCTTCCTCCAATACTGGTGACACATTCTTCTTCATATAATCTGAGGTTTTGTTTAGCATACGGACTGAACAAGTACGATGAGAGGATACAAACCTGGTGCATACCTTTGCTGATTTTAAACCATATAGCATCCCCTTGTTCTGTTCTCACAACTGCCTCTTGATCCTTGTAATTCTGCATGAGCACAGTGTAGTGTTATTGGATACCCATTCTTTCCAAACTATAGTTTGTTAGGACCCACACTGTCAAATACCTTTGCATAGCCAATAAAACACATACAAACAGCTTTCTGATATTTTCCACTATGAACCAAGCTCCATCTGACACCATCAATGATATCACTTGTTCTACGTCCTCTTCTGAACCTGGCCTGAACCTCTGGCAGCGACTCAATGTACTGCCCCAATGTACTCAAAGTACTATTGGATGATCTTCAGCAAAATATTACTTGCATGTGTTATCTGTGATATTGCTTTATAGTTTGAACATTCTCTCGGGTCACCGTTCTTTGGAATGGGTACAGATAAGGATCTCTTCCAGTCAGGAGGCCATAGACCAGTGAGTGCTTGGAGTGCTTCATCAGCTGGCTGAAACATTTCACTTGATAGTCCATCAATTCCTGAAGGCTTGTTTTTAGCTAATGTTTTCAGTGCAGCTTGAGCTTCTTTTCAGCACCGTTGGTTCCTGAAATGGTGGGATGTCGACTACTCCTTTTTGGTAGAGTTAACTATATTCTTTCCATCTTCTTTTGATGCTTCCTACATCGTTTGCCATTTCTCTCAAAATCTTTCAAGATTGCAATTCAAGGCTTGACTTTTTTCTTGAATTCTTTCAGTTCCATTTGTGTTGAGCATATTCTATTTTGGTTTTCTGATTCTAGTTCTCTGTACATTTCATTGTAGTATTTGACTTTGTCTTCTAGAGCTGCCCTTTAAAATTTTCTAGTCAGCTCTTTCACTTAATCCTTTCTTCCATTTGCTCTAACTACTCCACGATTAAGAGCAAGTTTCAGAGTCTCGTCTGACATCCACTTTGGTCTTTTCTTTCTTTCCTATCTTTATAATGGCCTTTACAATTTTCATGAATGATGTTCTTGATGCCCTTCCACAGGGTATCAGGTTGCCTGTCATTAGTGTTCGATAGTTAAATCTGTTCTTGAAATGTTCTCAAAATGTGATTGGTATATACTCAAGGCTGTGTTTTAGCTCTTGTGAATTTGTTTTACTTTTTTCAGCTTTAATTTGAACTTGGGAGATAGATGGGGCTTTCTACTGCTGTAAATAGTCAAGAGTCTCGGAAACTCAATGGAGTAGTTCCATTTTGTTCTATAGGGTCGCTGAGTTGGCATCGACTTGACGGTAGTGACTTTGGGTTTTTCGTTTTTAAAGAGTTTTAACCTGATCATAGGATCAGTTGATGGTCTGGTTTCATAGTCAGCCCTTGGTCTGGTTTTAGCTGCTGATAGTGTCTCCAGCATCTTTTCCCACAGATGTAGTCAATATGATTTCTGAGTATTAGACCTGGAGGAGTTCAGGTGTGTAGTTCTTTTTGTATTGTTGTAAAAGGTTTTATGTTGTTTTCATAAAAACATAATGTTCAGGTACTTTACACTTACGTTTCTGTACGGTTTGGTCATTTAATCGATTTCAAACATTGCTGTAGTGAAGGAAAGTATTCCAAGTACTAGGCAATTAATTAGTAAATTACCAGCTTCAGTCAAAAGGGACGGTTGCAAAATCACAGAAACCTTTAGTTAACAAAAATCTCAAAATGTGAAGCTACCATTTCCCAACATACCCTCTCATCTGTGTCTCTAGTGAAGGTGCTATTTTCATCTCCCTAGTCCCTCCGGAAAGAACCCTGAACTCTCTGACTTCTAACACATCAGAATGGCTACTTGGGCATCCTGAAGCCACTCAAATAGTGTCTCTTTGAAATGATCTCTTATTGCTATAGTGGCAAGATCACGGATGTAGGGTGGGTAGAGTAAGATTTCCCAATGAAAATCTCTTAGGGCAACCCCTGCTTCCCTTGATGAATGAGCATGTGCACTGTCACAAGGGGAAAAAAATTCCTCAATGCAACTTCCCTGGCCTTTTCTCAATAATGCAGTATTTAATTTTCTTCAAATTCCCTCATAATAAGCACCTGTGATGGTTCTGCATTCTTTGAGATTAAAAAATCAAAAAAAAACAAACAACTAACTGCCACGGAGTCAATGCTGACTCATAGTGACCCTGTAGGACTGAGTGTAACTGCCCCTGTCGGTTTCTGAGGCTGTAAACTCTGAACCAAGCAGACTGTTGCATCTTTCCCCAATGGTGTCGCTGGTAGTTTCAAACTGCTGACGTGGTGGTTAGCAGCTGAACATGTAACAAACTACACCACCCTTAGAAATACCAGGATATAGGTGCCACAACTTTCTGAGCTGACCCCTCTGCACTGAATTTTATTGCCCCAGCAGATCTCCATGGAAGCTACTTTATGGATAGGCTCTATAATAAGACTAACACAAGTTGTACTACTGAGAGAACTTGCCTGCAGTGAACCATTTATCGCTGTTTACATTGTGATCCACCGAGATGTGTTTAAATATCCATTATTTGGAATAACCGATGTATGTTTGAAATGGAACCCTAGTAGCAAAACTTTTTAACTAGCCCACACATTTTCAAATTATAGGAAATCCTAAAATTCTCAGATCTATGCATTCTATAATTAAGATGAAACTTCTTTGATAGCATCAGAAATCTAATATATATTGTGAGATATAAGGTAACTAATTTAATTACTATAAATATTCTCTTTAGGGGACAAGGTATAACATATCCTTGTTAAAAGATCTAAACTTGTCAAGCTGAGGAAGACTAATACTCACATAAGCCTAGAGTTGAGCAAACTTCAACTATATTCAAACTAGAAATCTATCAAAGCAAAACGATCTCAATTGAATTTGTACAATTTATGTTGCAAAATACAATCTAAGCCTTACCTTAATACAACCTCCCAGTGCACTGAATTTAAACACTGCTTGAAAAGGTTTTCGATCAATAGGACATGATGCTAATGTCTGAAAAAGAATGAACAATTGTAACTTTTAAAATTTCTTTAAGACGAGATTAAAGTTAACATATTTACATTAAGTTTCTTATAGAAAACAACGCACCCACAAAGATAAAGGAGATGGAATATTTTATCTAGCCTAATTTATTATGTCGCACAACAAGAAAAAATTTTAATGTCTCAATTTACTCAAACATATAAGTGCCCACTGCATGTAGATAATTAGAATACAATGATGAATAAGAGAAATACGATGTTACCATCATTAAGAGTTGCTTACCAACTCAGTAGCTGGTACAATGAAAGGCATGCTAGCCTGAAATCAGCAGCTCTGGGATGGAAAGGTAGCTGTTATACTAAATCTGGAAAATTCTAAGTTACCTGTAAAAGGAATGGGTTGGATGGGCTCCCTATAGATCTTATTATTCTTTGACTTAATATCCACCACTCTCCCCCAATTAATTATTTTGCATAGGCAATATGTACCAATGATAAAACCTTTCTAACATATGGAGAAAATAAAAAATCTCTCCCATACTTCCCCGTCATCCAGATCTCCCTGTATGCTCCACAGGCATACTTGTTATTCACACCCAATAAATAAGTATCAACTCTAAATAAGTTTTTTAATGATGTTATTTACTATATTTATAAGAATGAACTTATATTATCTAAGATGCCTTGGTGGTGTAGTGGTTAAAGTGATCAATTACCAAGTAAAAGGTCAGTAGTTCAAACCCACGTGGGAGAGAATGTGGCAGTCAGCTTTCCAAAGATTTTGTCTAGAAACCCCATGTGGCAGAGTTCTACTCTGTCCTGCTCAGTCACTAGGAGCTGGAATGGACCCAACAGCAGCTAGTGGGCTCACGTTATTTCAGTAACAAGATGGGATAGGCTTCTACTAGAGTAGGAGTAAGACTCTCCAGCCTATGAATAAAATCTCAAAAGGTGATATTAACAACTATGGTTCCAAAGGTGAAACATGATTTTAACAATTTAATACCAGTAACCTAAAAGATCACAACACAGCAGTTCACTGCTATCAAATAATATTGCATGGCATTTTTCTCTGTGAAGTAAAAAGTCTTTTTCTGAGACAAAATGTTAGGATTTGAAAATGAATAAAATAAAGGATTATAAATCTTTGCTTTACTCTTACAGTAACAACCTTTAAATAGGATCAAGGTAAATAACTTTACTTCTTAGTGCTCCCAGGACAGTTCAACCCTGACCTATCAGAATGTAATCAACGTCACTTAATTGTACATGTAAAAATTGTTGAGTTGGTGTTCCTTCTATTTGTATACATTCTCAACAACAAAATTTAATTTAAAATAGAATTAGCTTTAAAGTTCTTTATGATTTAGACCTCCATATTAAATTGTCTGAATGAAAATCATCTATTAAAAAGGGAAAAAAAAAGCTTTTTTTTTCTTTCTAGGCTTTGTTACACATTCAAGATCATCAAACACAGACAACATATAGCCCTTGAGAAGATATTCATATTCACAAAATTCAGTTAGGGTGTCGCCAAAATATAAACTTGGTTAATTTCTACTACTCTGTTAAAATGTGATTTTTCACTTTCTAAATAAGTAGGCCTAGATAGAAAAGTGCTTTACTACAGCTGAAATAGGATATGTGACCTTACCACAGTAAATGAGTTCAGATTGGTAGAAACCACTTTAGCTTACTTCCAAGTAATATGGATTTAACATCCTATTATTTTCCCTACAGAAAGCCTGATCTTAAGAAGCTTTGTTTTAAGTAGCAACAAAGCTGTCAACGTGTCTTTTTAATAAAGCACTGCAAATAGCAATTCTAGTTCAAAGAATTCAACACTGTCACTATTTGTGGTTACTTTTTTATGTTCTTAGCATGGACTTACGAAATTTCTTAGACTCAAGCTTTTAGTAATACTGCATTTGTAACTGATGAGATTATTGGAAAGTATGAACTCAAAATTTTTACTATTTGCAAAGTGCAAAAAAAATTTCTGACCTCTACTTAAATATGAATTTAAACATTCGGAAATAGGTAAAACAGACATAAACAAAAACTTGTTTTCTAAAAAGTATTAAGAAAGGTATATATAGGTAGAGGCTCTATATATAAAGCCTAGTTTCAAATGTGTATGTCCTTGTGTAAACTTGAACAAGTTACATATTTTCTCTGTGAAATGAAGGTAACAATAATTTTTCATGAAAATTAACTGTTAATAAATATAAAGCACTTCAAAGATCTGTGGCACACACTTATCATTTTGTAAGGTCTCTAAACTTAAACTAGCCTAACTGACTAACAAGAAAAAAGCTTCGTCCATTAAAAAAAAAGATCATCTGAAACATCACGATAGCCAGAACTTCTTAATGTTTTTTAACTAGAATTTTCAACTATCACTATATAAAAACATTAAACCATTTCATCATTTTGCTCTAATTTACAACACTATATGCAAAGAAACACACCATGTTCTAGAAATTTATTCTACATCAGATACATTAAATCTTTCAGAAACTCTGGAATCATGACATCTCATTTTATTAATTTTTTTCCTGTTGACATTAGCTAAAAATGGTAGTCTAAATAATTTTCAAACTCATAAAAACTGATCTATTCCATTTGGATCTGCTTCAAATAATAAGGTTCTGTGTTAGATTCCATTGTTTTTAAGCACAAAAGCCATGAATTTGTTGAACATTTCATTTGAAGATTCCATTATCATCATGAAAAAAAGGTAGTAGCCTGAAAACCATTGTTACATATTATCATTACCTATACACACTTGTATTTTCTAAAGATAATCTAAACCAGGGGTCCTCAAACTACGGCCCATGGGCCACATGCAGGCGCCAAGGACATTTATCCGGCCCGCCAGGTGTTTTTGCCTGTTTGTTTTTTTACTTCAAAATAAGATATGTGCAGTGTGTATAGGAGTTTGTTCATAGTTTTTGTTTTTTTTTTAAACTATAGTCTGGCCCTCCAACAGGTGTGAGGGACAGTGAATTGGACCCCTGTTTAAAAAGTTTGAGGACCCCTGATCTAAACACTAGGAAAATTGTGATTTTCCTTCTACTATAGCTCAATCATCAGAAAAATTTCTAAAAATGAGTTGTCCTTACCAAAGGAAGGCATAGGTTAAGAAAATAATCTTCCTGTAATAGACAAAATATTTTGGCTATGGCTACTGAGAAGTGATACTATCCATTTTTGACCTCACAAATAACAGTTTAGCAAAGCATTAAAAGAAGTCTAAGTAAAAAAAAAATTTAGTGAATTGCTAATTTAAAACATTTGTAAAGCTACCATAATAAGGTTCAAAGATATCATTATTAATACATACTAAAGCACCAAATGTGATTATCAGATAGCTTTTATAGAAATTTTTTATAAAGAGGCTAAAAACGGCTTGAATTGGTCTGATTTTGAGAAATTCCCAAGGTTATCTCTCATCTTTGTTACTAGCCGATATCCATCCAGGAAATCTCAGACATTCATTTTAAACTAATATAGTAACATTTTAACTAATTAACAGTTTAGATGTAATTTTAGTTTTGAAGAACAATTTCCAAGTTTTTAATTTTTCTTACATATAACAAAAATTCCCAATAATCCATCCATATTTAAAAGAAAAACATCAGTTTGACTTTTATTTGGTAATTTTAAAAATATCTAACTTAGTTTAATAATCAAAGTAGTTTAGTACCACCATTCAATTTTGTGACATAACTAAAAAATTAATAGTATTTGATCATTGCTTTACAGTGGAATGTGTACTAAACACAGAGCATCTGCTTTACTGTGAGTACTCTGTTCTATCAGGCAATTTTGATATATGTATATAAAAAAACTTCCTTTCAGTAAAACATACCCTAGTATTCTGAAGCGTTGTAAATTCCCAGTTCAGACAAACCCATATTTAAATGTAAGAACAGGAAACCTTCCTTATTTGAGAATTCAGGATTCTTGATTTCTAACATTTCTTGCTTCCTGCTGCTGCTCTATCCTCAATCACATAGGCTGCCTACAGATAGCCCCTCCTAGAGAGAGAGAAGCAAGTGTTAAAAGTGCTTAAAGACTGAATCTTAGTACTTATGCTTATAGCTAGGTTTGTCTCTTCATGGGACTATCTAGAACATCTATCTCTCCTATTAAGAAACAGAATATACTATATAATATTGCAGGTTCAAAATCAAATATAAATGATTTAGAAATAGATACCATTAGAAGCTGATGCTTATTCTAAAATCATCCATTCACCAGTCCCTATTCTTTCTTATTGTTAGTGGTTCCAGTACACCTACCCTGGCTCTCTAAAGTATATGCCTACATTCCATGTTGCCTATCACAATTAACTTGTTCTTGTCAAACCTTGTTAGAGAAATGATAGTTTTTAATACCATCTAACAGGAACCTAAAGGACAAATGGCTGTCAGTGATAAGCTTTACACCAGGTAAAAATAACATACGCTATGCATCTAGTTTCTGAAAAAGGAGCCTCTTCAAATTCTCTAAGATACATTGTAATAGGTGGATACAATAACTTTTATCGCAATTTCTTCTGACATTAATAGTTAAGACTTTCATTTTCAATAAGTAAACTCCCTTTATAGATCATTTAACAAAATTCAACATTTAAAACTAGGCTTCATAAAAACACATAATTTGCCTGTCTGACAAATGGTTATTGACAAATGAAAATCTATCATGTGTATTTTAAGTAATGGTTACTCATAGTGAAAAAATATTTATCCTACAAAAGGATTAACCTACAGGGTAAAAACTGCAGGAAATCTGGAGTAAGTTTAAGTTCTAGAGCAGTCAGAAGCAGCAGTATCTTTAATCCACCTTAAGGATGAAGATGAGAGATCAGTAAGTCATCTATTGCATAACTTGAAACATCTGCCAATACTTTAAGTTATACAGATAAAAACTGTTCTCCTGGTTCCACAGATGTTTAAATTATCATTCACAGACCATTCATGTCATTAAAAAAATATTTGGTTT